TGTAAGATGCTTGGGAGAGAAGAAACTCTCTCTCCCCTTATCTTACTTCCTTCCCTTTTTACAGTGCTCTGCTCACCACTATTTAAAGACAAATCTATGCAAAACTGGCACAGTCTGAGACAGACCGGTTTGGAAATACTGCAAGTTGTCAGCACCCCTTTAAATACAACGCTGTTCTTCCCCTTACAGGTGTCAAAGCTGCCCCTGGAGGAATTTGCATGCAACCTGGCAACAAAAAAAAGGAAGGGCTCCTACTTCTTAAATGAGGCACTCTGCAGAGAACCGTCTGCTACTACCACCTCTGCCAGCTTCCCCGAAAATGTGCTCAGCTGCCTCAACCCACAGACATGTTAGCAGACAAGAGACCTTCTGCTAACCAGTGAATAAGAATATCCCCTTTCTGCTTTGCTGCTAAAGTGAATGGTTCTGTTTGGGCCATTGCAGGCACTCGATTGCTCTCAGCTTCTGAGAAGCCCCAACTGCTGCTTTCCGACTAGGAACTGCTGAGAGAACAGAAATGGGAGACCAAGCTCGCCATCTCCTGGGCAAAAGGCATTCACGTTTCCAGGAAAGTTTTATTTCATTTCACTCCCTCCTTTCATTCTCACTCTTCTTTCTTTGTGAAGGACCAAGGTTATATGAAAGGGCTTAGGAAGCCTGTCGGCTTGCAATGCCAGCTCTGACCCTCCTGCGGTCCCTCTTCTTCCTGAGAGACTCAGTAAAATAAGACAGTGACTCTGTCACAGCGTGGGTACACTGTTGGTATTTTTGTTATGTACTTCATAAGTACTTCAGCAGCAGCAATGTCAGTGGCAAGACTCGCACACATTAATAAGCCCAGAAAAGAGGTTTACAGTGTTGAGCAGATACAGCAACAGTCAGGTTCTTACGTACTTAAAATGGCAAGGACTGTTTAGTGACTGCCACATACGCCCTGTGGAGCACAGGGACATTATGAAAGCTACAGCAGATGACCTAGTTACAGACTAGTCACAGTGCAACACCTCTGTTTTCACAGGTCTATGTTGCTTCAAAAACTGATGCCTACAGTGAGGCTTCTAAGGACACCTATGGACTTTTGAGCGTAACAAAAATCCAGGACCTTTTGCACATTCTCATCAGGCTCGCTACAGAAATCGTCCTGCCATAGTTTGGGAGGTTTAATTCACCAGTGTTCATAATGCAGCTGCAGTGCTTTCAAGCACAGATGAAGGCGAACGGCAAGTTTTTGGAAATGCTGGGCAGCATTACCAAAGACTGACAGCAGGTAAGCCAAGGTGTGTTGCGTTGCACTGTAATGCTACAGTGGTTATTGGAAACTGGAGACTAAATTACCTAACATTAATCAAGGTGAGGTGAGAGGTGAGAGTTACTCAGTGAGCAAGGCCCAAGTGCCCCAAGCATTATTAACGTCTTACATTAAAAACAGAACGAAAAATCTTCACCTGGCTGCATAATGTCTGTGCAGATGGTGGAAAAATATCTGACCGTCAGTGTAATTACGGTGCATGGAATAAAGTTTCTGACTGAGGGTCAACAAGTTAGAAAAGGATCCGGAGAGGTGGGAAATCCTCAGTTCCCAGTGCTGCCACTGATCTACTGAAACCATAAGCACCTACTTTACCTCTCTGGAGCTTTGTGAGATGAGTGTTTTAAGCAGTATCTGAGAAAGACTAGTGAATTCATTAAGCTGGTTACTTTTGCAGGGTTTATTATAACTCAGAATAACTACAGTTATAAAGCAGCTAAGGAAATTACACTCCTAGATATGTTGTTCCTAGTACCAAGAACTGACATGAAGCTGGGCTGTTGTGATGTTTAAGAGAGAAGCTGTTCACTTAACAAGAGATCTATCACAGATTTGTTACCAAAACAGGCTTTTTCAGTCCTAACCTGGGCAGGGCATCCCATGTATTGTTAAATAGAAACTCTGTTATGTCCAGTGTAAGTTAGATAACAAACTGAAACTAACATTTTTAACTTAGGGCTAAACAATTCTAAACCAGATTCCTAGTGATGAAATAACTTGCTTGAAGTGAAATAACACCTCAGTTATAAACAAAGTAAAAACTCTGTATAGATGATATTTTTGAAGAGCTTAAATATGTAAATTTCACACATTAAACCCAAAACTTAAGCAGAGTAACTATTATACCTTTACCAAACCATCATCAATCAAGTAAAGTCTTCTACTGTTTTAAACCAATGCTTAAAGATCATAGATTGAAGTGGAAGCTAGGAATCATAAAGGCATTTTCTTCCTAAGTTCTTCTTGCTCTCAGTCACATCATCTATACAACTTTTAGCCTGAACACCCTAAAGTACCCATTTTCTTGCAGTAAGATGAAGCAAAAATTTGTTTTGAATAATGCAAAGTAGGCTTTAATGATCTAAATGTTTTTTCAACACTTTGATGCAAGGTCGGAATTGTGGAATTATAAACTGAATTTCACAGAACCACAGAATCACAGAACGTTAGGGATTGGAAGGGACCTCAAAAGCTCATCCAGTCCAATCCCCCTGCCGGAGCAGGAACACCTAGATGAGGTTACACAGGAAGGCGTCCAGGCGGGTTTTGAATGTCTCCAGAGAAGGAGACTCCACAACCTCTCTGGGCAGCCTGTTCCAGTGCTCTGTCACCCTCACTGAGAAGAAGTTTCTTCTCAAATTTAAGTGGAACCTCCTGTGTTCCAGCTTGTGTCCGTTACCCCTTGTCCTATCACTGTTTGTCACCGAGAAGAGCCTGGCTCCATCCTCGTGACACTCACCCTTTAAATACTTATAAACATGAATGAGGTCTCCCCTCAGTCTCCTCTTCTGCAAACTAAAGAGCCCCAGCCCCCCCAGCCACTCCTCATAAGGGAGATGCTCCACTCCCTTGATCATCTTTGTAGCCCTACGCTGGACTCTCTCCAGCAGTTCCCTGTCCTTCTTGAACTGAGGGGAATTTAACTTGCATACTTGAGTTTCACAAATAAATTTATTACTGTTTTGTTTAGTGTAACTGAGGTGTCACTCGATGAACAGTGTGCATGTAGAAGGTGGTTTTCCTATTCCTCAAATACTGGAATGAAGGTGGAGTTTCTGAGCTCCACTTCACAGTGAAGGCTCGTGATTTCCTGGGAGGAGGATTCATCCAGGTGATTCACATACTATGACAGCTCTATTCTTTATTAATGTCCTTGGACCAGTCTTCTCCAGAAATGAATAATTATGGTGACCCCAATTCAAGGGAGATGCAAACTGTACATGAAGAATGGCTCTATGATGCTGAAAACAACAAAATAGAGAGCTTACTAGGCTTAGCCATCAAAAGTGGAGGGGGATTTCACTGCTTTTTAAGTATGCAGGAAAAACAGAAAGGTAGGAGAGAAGTAATCTAAAGAGGACAGTTTGGGCACAGGAACAAGCTAATAATAAAGTAGTGCTAAATACATTTAGGCTAGCCTACCAAACAGCAGCAATACGTGGAAGGAAGATAAAAATCTAACTGATTTTAAGAGAGCAATCATTTTATGAAGATCACAAATGACTGCCTGCAGTAGCAGGCATATTATTCTCTCTGTGTGTAGCAGTCTCCACAAGGACTTTCATGTGAAGCACTCTCCTGGTTGTGTAATGACAGTCCTACCCAGCCTGTCTTGTTTTATATGCCTTTTTCTGAGCAGTCTCAGCTCTTCTGGCAAAGGTGACAAGAGCAAACAAGAAAATACCAAACACTTTAGGCAAAGATTTGAAGGCAAGCGCTCTTAAATCTCAGGCTAGAAAATACCAGTACCTTCTTGCAGAATGACTCGAGATACACCCCTTGAAGTCCTCACATGTTTGTTGTGTCTCTGTTCCAGTGGACAGCCCCCTTTATTAAGTCTCCATGAGCAACTTCTAACCACCTGCAGACAGCGTCACTCTGACACTGGAAAAGCTTTTCCAGTTTCCAGTCTATCTTTTCTTCACAACTATTCTATAGTTGTACAATGGTTCTGTATGAACTCTATGTAACTATAAGTTCTTCATTTCATAAGACCCTACAACATTTTCACTATAACTTCAGTATTTACCTCACGAATTTCCTCTGTGTATTGACTTCCTCAGCTCCTCATTACATGTTATTTACCTCTTCATTGATTCTTACCTTCTAAAATAAACAGTACAACATGAACTATTTGAGATTTTTTTTAAGGCTGGGCTGCAAAGGTGAAAAAACTTTCTTAAACTGAAGAAGTCTGTCACAGATGTTTTTCTCAGGTTGAATCTTATGCAACAGATTCTTGAATATCCATCTTCTCCTTTCAGATTTCTGTATTATATATTACATTTACCAGTTTACCTTGATACTGCACTAAGTGTTACAAACTTTGCTCAAAGTAGACCTTAACAAGTGACTTGTCATACATCTCCTCTTGATGCACAAGCTGCATTACATCAGTATATTTTAAAGGCACGCTTCATTTACACTTCTACTCTAGCCTGCACTCTGTGGGAATGTATATAATTAATTAACAAAGCTCTGGAGTTTATGCACACTTCTTGAATGATTTAATGTTTCCAAACACAAGAGACTTTTTTTATGCCTTAAAAGAGAACCAAATGTTTTCTGACAGGTGGGACTTTGCCATAAACAAAGCATTTGGATCCAGTCTTCCAGTTTGGAGCATTATAGGCTCAGCAGAAAGAAGAGCCTGAATTTTGTTTATGTTCTGCACTTACTCCTCCACACTTTCAATGCACATTTATTTATGAAGTTTCAGGTCAGGGTCATCGCCTGTAATACTGCACAGAGCTGGTGCCCACGGAAAAAGGTGCCCTGAAACTGTGTGACAATGAAGAGAAGACAGTTTAAAAGATAAATTCATCTGAACAGGAAACAAAAGATCCCTCTTCAGCAACAAATGTGAACATCCATTATACCAGCCTAGAAAGCAGGCGCCGTCACAAAGAGGCTGAAGTAACCCAGGACAGCATCTCTCCTAGACTAAAAAGGACTCACAAAATCAACTATCAGTTCATTTTTTAATTAAATGAAGATTTATACAAACAAACAACAGAACACTTTGGGGAAGTATAGGCACAGATTGCCACAGAAGGGTTTTCTACAGCACAGACAACGGCCATAAATTCTTTACTTTCCCAGTCTTGTTTTTGTGCAGTGAAGACAAAGCTCAGAGTCCAATAAACCCAAACATGAATTATCTGAACTCCTTTTTTCTTTCCAAACAGAAGGAGGAAATTACTTGCTGCTAAAGATGTTCAGACTAGTAATTTTGCAAATGGTGCTATGAAGCTGATCAGAAGGGAATATGTTGTAGCATAATTGCCCCATTTCAAAGCATTATCCTGTAATAACAATCTGCAGCATGGCTGTTCTTCATTGAGAGGGAGAGAGTGCGACATCCAGCATGCACCTCAGTACACACACGCATTCCAGAGAGAAGCACCCTCCTTGTCTGCTAGTGCTAGAAGACAGCCCCATTAACCAGCTTGAGACTTTTAGATCCTAATCCCAGGGCAGAGAGATAGCACTTGCTTCAGTGGCTGCAGCTATTTGCTATTTTCAGTTATGACCCTTGTGATTAAGTCAAGCTCTGAGCCCTCAAAATCCTTTCCTGAAATGAAGACCAGCTTTTGTTCAACAACATATTAGGAAAACACTTTTTGGCATCAGACTAAAGGAATGTTTAAGTGTTAGCTTTTCAAAAGCCATCCTAGTAACTCAGTAAAGAAATATCTTTAATTTTGTTTTGTTAAAACAGAAAACATGTTACACTAGGCTGCAACTTACAGCTGCAGTATTCTTAGGCAGAGAATACCTCCTTTTCTTGCTGCTGGAATCCGTGCCCTTGAGTATTCATTTGTTTGCAACAGCAGAAAGCTGGTCCCGGATCCTTCCTAGACCTTCCAACATAGTGTCCAGGGTTTCTTTGCTCAGTTCCACAGTCAGTGCAGAAACAACAGGACTACTTCCACATAAGGCAACATCTTCCTGAATCTGAAAATAGGAATTTATTTTTTACTACATTTTACAATTTACTATAGAAGAGTAGCTGCATGAAAAATGAGTTCACATGTTTTTCCAGTGCTACAACAAGTCAGTGTTTAATAGATACATTAAGAAAAAAGTTTCAAATTTGACATCCAGCTCCATCCTGATGGACCATGGCACATTTTCTAAGCTGTGTGCCTCACCAGAGAGGTGTGTGCCCATTGTCAGAATGCACCTAAGCATATACTGCTGTAAGTATGGGGAAATTCTGAAGAGACTTGTCCACATCCGTATCAAAAACATCTTAGCAGATACCGCATGGGATACTTAACCCCATCCCACCCCACCCCAAAAATTAGACTATTTTTCACTGAATCATAGAATTGTTATGATTGGAAAAGATCTTCAAGATCATCAATCCAACCATTATCTAACTCTACCATGCCCACATCTGAACCATGTTCCCGAGCACCACATCTAGAAAGCTTTTAAATACAACCAAGGATGGTGATTCCACCACTTCCCTGGGCAGCCTGTGTCAGTCTTTGATAACCCTTTCAGTGTAAAAGTTTTTCCTAATGTGTAACCTAAACCTCCCCTGGCGCAACTTGACGCCATTTTCTCTTGTCCTATTGGTTGTAACTTGTGAGAAGAAACCCACACACAGCTCTCTACAACTTCCTTTCAGGTAGCTGGAGACGTCTCCCATCAGGCTCCTTTTCTTCAGAAAAAACAACCCCAAGGCCCCCAGCTGCTCCTTATAAGCCTTATTCTCAAGACCCTTCACCAGCTTTGCAGCCCTTCTTTGGACCCTCTCCAGCACCTCAATGTCTTTCTTACACTGGAGCACCCAAAACTGAACACAGTACTCAAGGTGCGGCCTCACCAGTGCTGAAGTACAGGGACACGATCACTTCCCTGCTTCTGCTGGCCACACTATTTCTGATGCAGATCAGGATGCTGTTTGCCTTCTTGGCCGCCTGGGCACACTGCTGGCTCATGTTCGGTCAGCTGTCAAGCAACACCACCAGGTCCTTTTCTGCAGGGCAGCTCTCCAGCCACTCCTTCTCAAGTCCGTAGGGTTCCATGGGGTTGTTGTGACCCAAGTGCAGGACTCGGTGCACTTGCATCCAAGTGCACTTGGCCTTGTTGAAGCTCATACAGTTGGCCTCAGCCCATCCATCCAGCCTGTCCAGGTCCCTCTGTAGAGCCTTCTTACCCTCCAACAGACCAACACTCCCGCCTAACTTGATGTCATCTGCAGACTTACTGGGGGTGCACTCAATCTCCTCATCCAGATCATTGATAAAGGTATTAAACAGGAGTGGTCCCAACACTGAGCCCTGGGAAACATCACTTGTGACTGGCTGCCAACTGGATTTAAATCCATTCATCACCACTCTCTGGGCCCAGCCACCCAGCCAGTGTTTGATCCAGCAGAGTGTGTGCTTGTCTAAGCCTTGGGCAACCAGTTTGTTCATGAGAACACTATGAGGAACAGTACTGAAGGCTATACTGAAGTCCAGGTAAACAACATCCACAATCTTTCCCTCATCCACCAGGTGGATCTCCTTGTCACAGAAGGAGTCCTCCTCCTATGAAACACACCCATCCCATTTTTACTGGTTGGGGGGATCCAGAACACTGCAGAATATAACCAGTAAGTTTAGCTATACTTCCCGAATGACAGATGTAGCCAGTGAAGGAAGTTATTAGTAATCAAAAGTCATTTCCCATCTAATGCAGTCAGGTAAAGATGCTGATGAGTGGCTCAGAATTAAAGGGCAATGACTTCATAATTTATCCTCTTTCTTTCTGTAAAGAACAATGGTAACCAGGAACAAATATGCTGCCTTCTTGCATCCTCATGCAAAGAAAACTCTCCCTTGCAAGAAAAATGAGAACTTTCATCAGAGACATCACTCCTAGGCTCTGTGGTATTTCAAAGACCATCTCTGAGGAAATCTATTAATTGGCCAGCAGGCAACAGGCAAGCACTGGATGCCTGTCTGAACTGTTTTGCACTACCACTGTCAACTCAGGTGTTGGACTTCATTATTTTGATCCTGTATCCTTTACAGCCCCTGACATTACCTTTAACTGAAGCAGGCAAGTAGGGACTGCCATTCTGCTTATGCTGTCTGAAGACGTCTTGATGTCCACCCTCCAGTCCATGTCAACCAGCCGGGGCAGGGAGACTGAGGGAATAAAAAAATCCATCTGTTAGGCCCAACAGCACATGATGACAGCAGACCCTGGAACCTGCGACTACCATCACGTACACGCTTGTTCACTTCTGGCCTTGGGAAGTGTACAGCTTTGGTGCTACTGTGTGGTTTCACATAATTTTTTCTGTACAATAAGCCAGTCTCTGAAGGCCTCTTCATGACACTGGAAGGACAAACAGGGTTCTCCCATCATCACATTCAAGGATGGTACAGTGCAACACAAGCATAGGTAAATTCACAAAGCAGCTGGGAGAAGGGGAGCCATAAAATGACTCCTCCAACTCTTCATCTACTACCTTGCTGCCTGCAACACTCAACTAGTGTTTCATCATGAGTTGCTCTTGGACCTACATTGTTATTGCTCTGTTCTGTAACCCCTGAAAAAAACACACAGGAATGCTCTTAAAATCCAGCAGTATAAAACATGTTAATTCAATCTCCCCATCCTCTAAACCAAAGCACCCCTCAGTACAGCATATGTAGTGGTAAACTGTAGTCTTCACATGTCCTGCCAATTTGTTACAAATACTGAAGATATCATCCTAATTAGATGTAGCCTAACAGAAATAATTCAGCAGTCTGCTGCAATACTGACTTCAATAGTTCAGAGCAGGAGATCCCATGAGCCTTCCGAGGGAAGGAGGAAGTCTGATTTCACTGCCCTGCCAAGAAATTTGTGCAGCTGTCTCTTGCAGAGGAGATGGGGATATTCTCTCATGATGGTGCATACTTAACAGAGCACACTGTACTATGAACCCTCAAGATTTCCTAAGCACCATGCAAACTGGCATAAAAGCTAAGATTAATGTTCCCTCAAAAAGCCCTGGCACCAGGAAGCTGGCTGTCTCAATAGGCAATTGCAGCCTGTCTGGATTCTGCCTATCACAAGATACCTAGTTTCCTCCCAAAGGGTTGACTGCTAGCTTTTCTACTGACTCCAGATGCTTAAGTTGCTTTCTAAGATTGCTTAAAGAAATTTCTCTATCTGCGGAGAAGCTCTCCCTTCTCCTCCTCCTGTTCCCCTGAGTAGAGCTCCAGAGGGCAGTGCAGAACTGGCTGCCTTGCTCTTGCTTTTGGAACAAATTCCAGTTCACAGTCTGTCAGGGCCAGTACTTGGCAGCATTTGCAGCAACATAACAATCATCTGTTTAGCCTTGTATGTTGATTTGCAAAGACTGATTGTTGGTGGCTTGGGAGCGGCAGGAAAGCATGCACATTACATTAACATAGATCAATCAGTTGGAATATCTATTCTTTAAGTCACTGGCTTGGTCCCTATGTAACATATGTCTGATATTTCATGAATACAATACTAAAATAATTATAATTTCCTAAAAGACAATCTAATCCCAACAGGGTTAAATATTCATCTAATTATTACCAAGACATGAGTGTCAGAGCAGAGATCCTGGGTGGTGAACCAAGAGCCACTACCCAGCCTTGCTTCTGAGTTGTGAAGACCTAGCTGGTGTATGATGCTGGTGTCACACCTGCTCTCATTTCCTTTAACACACATGATAGTGTTAAAGATACAGCATTCTGTGACTTGGTAACACTAGAACATTGTTTAGTGTAAGCAAGTGCTGTATTTACTGTATTAGCATTTTGCAATAGTTTCTTCCCTATTTATACGCCATTAAAACTTTGAGGGACAGTGTATTTCCAGGTCTTGCCATACTGTTTAACTGCTGGACACTATCTCCTTTGCAGGCAAAGAAAAGGGTAGAGGATCCATGCAGACTCCAAATTACTCTGTTATGTATCAGCTTTCAAATTTGTAAGGCTCTAAGTGCTACAGTTTTAAAGAAAGCCTCTTAAGGAGAAGACAAAGTGGTGTAGCCGCACAGAACACCTAACTTGGATATAACCCACTGCCCATGATGTTATTGTTAAAGTTTGCGTTCCTTAATTACATCACTGTTTAGAAAGTTGAGGAAAAAGCAGAGTTGCTAACATATGCAGTGTAGTCCTGATGCATGGAAGAGAAAGAATGCACAGGATTGACTAGCTGTGCAAAGACAGGGTATTTCCCAATAAATACTGGGTTGGGCAAAAAGTAATTGTGGTTTTTTCTGGGTAAATGAAAGGTGAATTTTTCATGGGAAACAAAAACTTTATTAAACAATATAGTGTCCATTCTGCTGAACTGCCTTTTGCCACCTTTCGGACCACTTCATGATTTTGTGCTCAAAAATGTTCTTATCTTTTTTTGGCAAAAACCAGTTCCAAGAACGATTTGACATCCTCATCAGCAGTGAGGGTTTTACCATTCAAGGTGTTTTGTAAAGAACAAAACAAGTGGCAGTCTGATGGTGCCAGGTCTGGTGGATGCGGTTAATGCATCCCAGCCAAGCTGCAACAAGTTTTGACAAGTGACCAAACTTGTGTGTGGTCTGGCGTTATCATGGAGAAACACAGCACCTTTGTGATTCACCAATTCTGGATGCTTCTGTTTGATGGCATCATTTAATTTATCCAGTTGATGACAATATACATCCACATTAATGGTCTGGTGTATTTAGCGTTTCTTCCAAGGAACAATACCTTTGAAATCCCACCAGACTGACAGCATATGCACTTCCTCTGGTTCATATCTGCTTTTGAAGTGCTTTCAGCTGGTTCATCACACTTGCTCCACAATCTTTGTAATTTGTTTTTGTTGCAAATGATTCATTTTTCCTACATTTATCCTACATTTCAAATTCGGATCGTTTTCCTCACATTTCCAGAGAGAATTGCAGATGTCAATGCCCTTAGTGAGATGAATTTCTTTGAGCTCATGCGGTACCCAAATATTGAGCTTCTTAATGTATCCAACTTGTTTTACATGGTTTTCAATGCTTGATTTTGATATGTTAAGGTTATCAGCAACCTCTCACATTGTTAAATGCCTACTGGAGTCAATCAATGCCTTTACTTTGTCATTATCAACTTCAATTGACTTCCCTGAGTGTGGTGCATCTTTAACATCCAAATCTCTGGACCAAAATTTAGCAAACCAATTCTGACACTGCTGTAGTTTTAAGGCATCTTCACCATACACAGCACATCACTTTTTATGAGCTTGCACAGGGTTTTTTCCTTTTTGGAAGTAATACAGCAAAACAGGATGAAAATGTTCCTTTTGATTTTCCATTTTGAAATCAATGCCAAATAAATAATGGTTAATGAAATTGCGCGCTTCCTTTTTCTGAAACAAGCTTGAACTGTCAGCTGTCAAGATCCACTGCACACTTTCCCTCAGTTACATAATGATTTGTGGTTTACAGTGCAGGCAGTTTACCTTTCAAGACACATATGTTCACCTATTAAAAATACACAATTACTTTTTGGCCAACCCAATACATGTCCTTGACAGTGCACAGTTATTGGATATGGACATTACTTAATGACCTGAACATGGAGGTCAGAGTGCTTCACTTTCAAAAGTTTTGCAGATACTTGCTACACACTGAGCATTAAATGAAATTGCTTGAGGACTGGAAACCATTTAGTACAGTAGCACAGATCTTAATACAAGCTGTTTGGCCTCTGCTAGGCTCTGCGATGCCACCATCATACAGCTCCATCTAAGGCAAACAAACAGTGGTATCCCCGTACTGCATTAGGAAAACACCACGATATACTATTCTCAACACTAACAGGAAACATTAACTGCATCAAAATGTGAACTACTACTTACTCTGACTTGCTTGTGCTTCATTCCGCCAAGAAGAGCTGTGAAAAAAGTAGAGAAAAGAAAAACAGGATCAGGAGTGCTTTGGAAAACAAGAGAAAGAGGGAAAAAATAAAATGAAAAAAAAGAGAAGGGAAAGCACTCAGAGTGGCTTATTCCTGACAGAAGGGTCACCAGGGCTGCAGCAGTAGCCAGGGGAGAGGATATGCTACTGAGTGCCAAGGAAAGGCTGTTGCTCTAAATTCTTCTGTAAGTGTGGCTCACTTATGGCACGTACCTTTCTCCTCGGTTTTATCAAAGCAATGGGCTACCAAGCAGTAACATGTACATGCACACAAAACTGCTATGCTCTGCCACCACCTCACATATGCTCTAACACATACAGTGCCTCCACACCTAAGCCACGGTGGTAAGTGGATGGGCATCTAAATGCTACTCAATCAGATTTTGTAGTGCTGAAATCCAGCTCTCTAAGATTTATTGTCATCTGTAGTATTTTTCCACCACACAGATTAGTTGTTAGGATAAAAGGGGCTTTGCATTATGTGAATGAGGCCCACACCCATTCCAAAAGTCTTGGGAAAACCCTCTGTGCCCATGGCTGTGTTCTGTTTGCCATTCCACTCAGATGACATATTTCATTCGACTCTGCTCATTCCAGCCAGTGTGACTGCGCCCAAGGCACGCACAGAATCCATAGAAATAAGACTCTGCATGCTGCCAACTATCCGTGTATCAAACCAGACACATAGGCTTTAACTTTCCAGCTGAAAGCAAATGGCAGGTGGGTAGCACTCACATATTCTCCAAGATTATCTTAGTCAAAAGGTTTTTCAGGTTTTGGTGGAAGTTTTCTGGAAAGAGGGAGAGGATCTCTTCTGCTGTCATCAAGCTGTGGTACACAACGTGCCTGGTGAGGTTGTGCAAAGCAGACACCAGCTGTAGGAAAGGAAGAGGAGAAAAGGCTCTGCTGGGTTGAAAAGCATTACACATTGGCAACAAGTCACAAGCGGTGTTCCCCAGGGCTTGGTTTTGGGGCCAGTCCCGTTTAACATCTTTCTTAACGATCTGGATGAGGGGATTGAGTGCTCCC